AAAATGTTATTGTGATATGTCTACATTGGTCATCTTCAAAGGATTAATTTCTGTGGCATAAACAAGAGACTGTTATTAGAAAGATCCTTTTGGTACCAAACCACATTGAAGAACATCAGGTTTTATGTAATTGTGATATTGATTACTGCTCCTTTTCTGGTGTACAAAATATATTCATGCCCTCTAATTGTATGAGTCTTCCAACATATTGTTTATGGTAATAACCTTTTGATTCAGGTATTCGCCTTTCTCTTATGTGCCAGCACCTATGATAATGAGCACACTTGTAGGCTGATATATTTTCCTTAAATGATATCCTATAAAAAGATAGCTACTTAGGGATCCAACCTCAAGAGCAACCATAATTGGCAATAATAACAGTTTAACTATATTTTTATTCCAAAATGCTTAGTATCCAGGTAAAATTATTATAGTTGAGTTCACTACTCCTCTTACAGTGCTAATGTTACTGATCTTCTCTTCTGGGTGTTCAACAACCAGAGTTTAGAGACCAAAACTGAAGAGGCCTCTGGGCTAAGAAGGCAGCCAATATTTTGGCCCTGGCCCTCCAAGGTCAACAACAATAGCGAAAAGATCCAGGTCATGAGGGAACCTTCTCCAAGATCCTACATCTTTGGTGAGTCACCCAACCACCTAAGCAGGGAGGTTGCTGAACACCAAAACAGTAAAGAGCCAACAAAAAGTGTGCCAAAGGAATGTCACCTGGAGGAAAAAACCTCTCATGCTTTCGCAGAAGGCAACATGATCAAGCAAGGCCGTGACATATCCCGATGGCTGACACTGACAGAGGAGCTAAGAGGGTCTGTGCATGGTTCCAAGACAGTGCCTGAGGAGACTCAATTGATCTTGCTAGAGAACAAGAGGTTGATTTTATTTAATATAGGTCTCACCGTACCTTGGTCTAAAACACCCAGTAGAAAAGTATAACTAAAGACAATAGTTATTTGAGTTCAACAAAAGTTTTAAGTTTTTTAGCCCAATGTTTAAAAACAAAAATTTGTTAGATTTTTAATTCTTTTACAGCCCCAATGGAGAGAAATTATGCTTACTATAGACAGCTAAGCCAGTCGAACACACTATAGATCCTCACAATACATAGGGACAAGCCATTGCTGGGTGTGCTTGCTTTTCCTAAAAACCCTTTCACATAAAACAAAAAGAAAGGGAGATATGTCGGGAGCAATGCTACATAATTTTTGGGAAAAATCATTTGGTTAGCCTAGTTCCCCTGCCTACAGCCCAGCTATGGAATTTGGAGACCTAACTCCATTTTGGCCTCTCAGTGATCCAGTGATGCTGTGATTCTCCAGGACAAGAAACATCCTGGGAGCTGAGAACATCCTGGGAGGAACAAACATCTACTCAGTTCCTCTTTGTTCTTGGACTGTTACATCTTATTTACGCAGGATGTACTAAACTCTCTGCAAGTCATTTGTTACGTTTGTTTCTCCCAAGGTACTGAATAAAAGGTGCGGTAAGCTGGGGGCTTTTGTCTTTGCCGCCCAGAGCAGCACTGATCAGACCCAAAGCTCAGATTCTTCTCAGTCTCATTTTTCTACCTTTCCTGTAATTCGCCGTGTGCTGCCGTGGCTCAGAGGAGACTAGGACTCACTGCAGAGATTCTGGTAACGTCCCCTTTCCCTGCTCCCTACAGGTGCTATCTGCTCTGCTTGTGTCATGGGTTACTGAGGGTCAAGGACAATCGAGGACATGAGAACTCTGAAGACTTCAGGACTCCAAGAAGTTGTTCCCACTGTTATCACCACACCGTCTATGCAGGTGCAGCGCCTGGTGCCGAGCGTGTTAAGGAAACAGCCCCCACTCCCGCTCTCTAGAACAGGGCTCGAAAAGGGTGCTCCAAGGAAATCCAACCCTCAGCATCAAAAACAACAAAGTTAATTTAGTTCAATCCCAAGGGAAACTGAGTTTGGGAGACGCTGCATATTACATTTCCTGTTGAGAGTCTTATTTAACATAGGAAAAGTCCTGAGAGGTTCTGCAATAAAAACATCAACAGCAACAACAAAAACTAGCTCCAGTTTATTGAGTCCACCATTTTCCAAGTGTATTAGTGTCCTAGGGCTATTGTAATCAAGTTCCCCAAACTACTTGGCTTATAACAGCAGAAAACTTTTCTCAAAGTTCTGGAAACCGGAAGTCCAACCGTAGGTTACTAACAGGGCCACTCATCTCATCCGTTCATCTCCCCTCCCCTCCCCTCTCCTCTCCTGTCTCCTCTTCTTCCTCCTCCTCCTCCTCTTCCTCCTCTCTCCCCCTCTTTCCCCCACCCGTTCTAAGGGATGATCTTTCCTTGCCTCTTGCTAGCTGCCAGCGGTCACCAGCAGCCCACCGCCCCGGGGTCAGTCACATGCCATTCTCGTGTGTCTGGGTCCAAATCTCTCTCTTCTTCTACGGACCCCACTCACCAAGTTAGAGCCCACCTTAATCTCATGTACTTTCTCCTCATTACATCGGCTAAAACCCTACACATCTGCTTTTGAGGAACACCATTCAACGGCAACCCCAAGTTTATTTGAACGTGAAGTATTCATCAATGCACCAACGAGTAGTATCTAAGGGACATCCACAGAACAAGCCTTAAAAAGTACCTTTTGAGAGCCAAAGGTCTCAGTGCCTTGCTTGTGTATCACCAAGACAGGACCAGAGTAAAGAGACAATACGCATACAAAATGGGTAGCTTGTGCTAGGTTCAAGAAACAGTGCTTGATCCATCACTGGCCCTGGGCTGGAGCTTCGCTGACGGGGATATAGGGATGAACGGGTCCGTGGGGGGTCCTGCTTTCCGGAAAGGAATAACCACACCTCTCTGGGCCCACATGGGCCTGACAAACTGGCCACTCTTCATTATCCCACTTTGGGTTTCAGGTCAAGTCAGAACAAGGACTCAACCTGGAGTGTGTGTTGCTAGTCCTGTTTGACAGAATAATCAGGTACTGAAGTATTAAGTGTCTCTATTATATTCATACTCATACACTGTTCAGAGATCAGCAACCTCACAATCCGTCAATAATTCTCAGACCCAAAAATACTTGGAACCAATAAGGGTCCTCTCCCCCTCTCTGGCTCCCTCCTTCCCACCCTCCCTTTTGCCGACCTGCCTGCCTGGTTATAAGCACTGACATCAAAGCACTGAGCTGTCAGGAACTCTTAAGCACTCAACTTTGATAGGAACAAGAAAGAAAGACATCAGTTCACAACCAGAAGGGAAAAGTTTATGTGATGTAGGGACGAATGTGTTAGTACAAACCCAAAGCATATGTTCCCAGTCAACCAGGTGTGAAAGCTGATTTTTCCAGAGGGGGAAAACTGTGGATAAGAATAGCACGACCTGGCCATGCCTCTTTCTACCCTCTAGACACTCTCACTCTTCTGGGGATTTGAAACCATAAGCTCAATCAGAACTTTTTATCCCTTTGCATGGTAATATACATGGTTTTCCCATAGACTCAGCCTTATTAGAGATATTTCCAGCACAAGAACAGTAAGATTCCAAACAGGTTAAGTTTATGTGTGATTCCTTAATGCAATTTAATACCAAGTATTCACACCCAGGAGTACTCACATGAATAGCATATTATTGAAAACCAGTGTTCCCAGCAACTTCTCCTCCCATTATGGCTATTTCTCTCCAACTTACATGGTCACACTGCCAACTGTAAACACAACTTTCAATTTTTAAAAATCCTTCCCTGCACCCTCTGCCTTTATCTGGTTTCATTTGGTGCAGATAGCCAAACAACGCAGCTCGCCCTATGGGCACAGTTCGGAGGACATTATGTCCCAAACCAAAGAGAACGGCAAACAGGTGGAAGCTAGAAAGTTCATCCTAGAGTTACATTACTCAGATCCTCTGAGTTAATGGTTTCAGAACCATGGACAGCGCAACCAGCGGCACCCAATATAGATAGCACAGTACTTCAAGGTTATGTTCTCAGCCTCTTAGAAACACATGCTGATAGCCGGGGATTTAGCGCAGTGGCACTGCGCATGCCTGGCAAGCGCAAAGTCCTGAGTTCAATCTCTGGTACAAAAAAAAAAAAAAAACAGAAAAGAAAGAAGCACATGCTGATAATATGGCTATCTTAGGTGTTTCACTGTATCATATAACATAGGAACTAGGAGGCAAGAATGTTAGATTTGGGAGCCAATATGGAATTTGCTCATTTTTCCCCCTGCCCCTCTTTACTGGAATCAATGCCAAAGAGAAGGAAATGGCTAAGGCAGCAAACCATACTCTGGATCCAAAATTCACTTTTATTTCTGACTTTACTCCCATCCCTGCAATAAGGAGATCGCTTTCAATGATTCTACAAGTCACACAAAAGATATCTTCTTATTAGAGACTAGGTATTACTGAAAGTGAATAAGGGAAATTTCAATTTCCATTTGAAGACTTCTGAAATTATTATCCATATATGCTTACCTCAGAGACCAGAAAACAAATGTGCTAGAGGAATGCTGGCAGAGGAAAGAGAACCTCACGGAATCGTTTTCAAAGGGAAATTAGTTGCTTATTTCTATTTCAGCTTAGCTGAAGCTGTAAAAATCTAATCAGAAATATTTTTCACAGTGGCATCTCTTTCCAGATATTGAAATACCTCAAACCGTAAACAATTTTTGTTATTGATGTTTTTGCCAGATGAAACCAAGTAATTACTTCAAACTTGATTTTCTTAAAACATGAGCCTGTTCTCCAGAGAGGATGAGAGTGATCACAAATGAGCTGGTTCCCCAGAGCCACCTCTGACACCTGAAGACGGAAACCACAGCTCACAAGCAAACCTGCCCTGAAATTCTTGAGTCTCAAGAGCCAAATCCCAAGTGGTCATCACCCAGAAAAGGCACGAAGAATTTTCAAAGAATAGCTGTCAGTGGTCCAAAGTGTATCTTGGTTTCAACACACTACTTCCAAGATCCCAGCACTGAGAATGAAGTGGGTATGAACCCATTTTCCCTACCTTCTCTTCTTGTGACTTCAAAGCTTCTGGATTCCTGAAAGAAAAGAAAGACTTGTGTTTTAGAAGAATAATTCATATGTACAGATACTTGCAAATACTTCACCTCTTGCTAGTCACGTATTCACAAAAAAGGTGGTCAAGCTAGTAAGAACATGAAATTTAGCAAAATTGGTGACACTGATCTCATGAACACACATATCTATAACTGGGAACAACTTATTGATCTGAGGGCTTAGGCAAGAAAAATACGTTGCTGATCACATAGTTTTTAATTGCCACAGTTTACTTCCAAGGTCTTCCTTAAGTGGTACTTAGGCCAGTCCGAGTGTCAAGTATGACACTGTACTCTCCTCTGCCCTCTTTGCAGGTGCTCTTACAGGACCTGGGGGAAAGTACTCAGAGGATCTGACCAGCAGCAGATTCTCCTTGGTGTCACACCAAGGACCCCTAATTGTTTGTGTGTGGCTCACTGGCATCATCTGGTGACTAATTATAGACAATTTGTAGTTTCCAGAGGCTGGAAACCGTGACACTACAAAATGGAGCTCTTAGATTTTCTTAATTCAGTTTCATATTTTTGACGCCAGCTATGTGCAGTACAATAAACAAACTGTTTCAAAATTACTCAGGTAAAACAGACCCTCTGCATTAATATTCTCGGTTGAACAGAGAGCTGCAGAAGAAATACAAATCACTGAGAAATCAAGGGTGATTCGCCTTGATAAATACCAGTATTTCAGCTGGAATTGCAAGGAAAGGGTTTTTAAAAGACCTTTTCACTACAGCACTGAAAATGGGCAGGTTTTCTGACAGGAGCAAGGGAGGAGGGACACGGGAAGGGAGAATGGCAGAAAAATAGGGAGTATGGTAAGACCCGGAAGGGTACCTCGGGAAGAAGGGAGAAGTAATGGGAGAAAAGGCTGGAAATGTATATTGTAGTTTCTTAACTAACAAAAAGTATCTACAATTTATCATAAGTGACCGGATTAGGATAAAAAGCTTATGGTTGAGAAAAAGGCAAAACTCCATGCTAGTGCAGTGCCTCACCGCCACAGCACCAGCACCATAGCGTTTCAAGCAAGTGACATTGTCTTTCACGGGTTAGCATTCCGGTCTAGCATCCTCCTGTGGCCAGGAGGGGAGGTGGTATTAGATAAGAAACCGAGGAGGCACTGAAAAGTGTGTCCTGCTCTTTCCATTCTTTGCCAGCCACTTCTCTAATAACCAGAAGCCCAAGTGGAGACCCATGGGAGCTCTATGTTCCAGGCTGAGCTGAAGTCCATCACATGCCACAACCAACAATGTACCTGCAGAATGCTGAGCCTCTGGGAGCCCTGTCCAGGTAGGGTGCAGGGGAGAAGGCACGGAGATGTGTAAGCCATGAACGGCATCAGGTACAAAGCAAACTCGGCTCTTCCCCAAATGCTCCTCAGTGTCCTGAGGCAGGGCCAGGGACCTCCATTCCTAGAGACTATGTGTAGAATTTGTGAAATCAGAGATAGTCATACTAAGCTTTTATATCTCCAGGAAAAAAACTCACCCGATTTTTATTGTGGCACCATAAAATCTACACACTAACTTAGGAAAAGCTGACATCTATGTAATGTTGCATCATCTTCTCTAATAAAATGACATTTCTAATAATTTCCTCAATTCTATTTTTGCTTCTTTCAAGAGTCTTTATTTTCCTTGTGTATTTCTGAATATGCCTTTTAAAATATTTTTGTTATTCTAAGTAGACTCTTTCATTACATATTCTAAATGGTTTTTATTTGTATATATGATGGCAATCGATGTTTCATATTGATATTATAACCAGCCATTTGATTATATTTCTTATTGTTTGTAATAGTTTTTCCATTGATTCTTTTGGGATTCCTATTTGTACATTATGTAGCCTGCTAGTAGCAGTAATTTCTCTCTTTCCAACTCCCATGTTTTGTGCTTGCTCTTATCTTACTGCTTTCTTTTTTTTTTTTTTTTTTTTTTTCCGGGGGATTGAAGGTATACAATTTAATGACATTCATCACTGGAAATTTGCACCTTTACATAATCCATCTTGGTTCTTGTTTTTCCCCCATTCCCCTGCCCTCACTTCAACCCCTCCACCCCTCCCTATCTACAAAGA